GGACCACGGTTCGATGCCCCAGCACCACATGCCAGCCAGCCCCGCCCCCTGGTGGGCTGAGCTGGCCACACACACACACACACACACAAATAAATAAAATTAAAAAAAAAAAAAGACCGATGAATGAATTCCTAAATCTAGTCATGCCACCAACCTGCCCAACTTCTCAGTGAGGACCAACATTTTATAAGGGTAGGTCAATGACAACCACACTGCCTAGATAATTTTACACACACTAGTACTCTCAATTACAAGAGGGGGTAGTCTATCAAAGATGGCTTTACAGGTTATGATCAAAATAAAAAGCCTTTAAATTTAGAACTATATCGGAGAAAAAGCGTTGGCTGAGGGAATAGCAGCTGTACACTAGGAGTACCAGTGGCCACAGGACCTGGAGGGCATTCCCCACTCACTGTATAACAAATCACTCAGTCCTGAGGAAACGGAGCTCAAAAAAGAACTAGCAAATAAAAATCATGATCAGAAGAAATTAGCCCTCAAGCCTAAACTACAGAGCAAGACCACTTAAAAAAAAAGTCCCAAATTTTAAAACATAAGGATAGAAGAAGGTAGGGATATCGCAAAAGAGAGTGGGACATAAAGAACTCAAAGAAACATGACTTCATTGGGCTCATGGATACAAAACAGGATTAAACATTCAGGGACAGTGTGGTAGATGGGAAAACAATACAGGACACATAATTTATAGGGTTTTATAATATTCACCTGAAGAGTCAAATGCAAAGAGTAAGGGAGATCTAGCCATACACTAGAGATCCAAAGAATCCTGCAAAGGGCCTGGGTCCCATGACAATGTCCTCCACAAGGCCAGCTGAAGACCTAGAAGACACAACAATGTCCCACACAAATCCGTATCAAGGGTCTGCACTGGCAAGGCCCAAAGGTCAGTGGTGGAAGCTAGGAAGTCTGCACCAGCAGGATGGAGGATCTGTACCAGATCTGCATGGGAGCCAGCAAGTAATGCTCAAAGTAAGGCCAGGGCTACACAAAGAGAATGACAGCCATTCTCTCAGTGACAGCAAGGCCTCAGCTCCTCTGACAATAAATAAGAATAGCTGAGTTCATATAAAGATGGGGGCTGGTGAGGTGGCTCAGTGGTCTAAAGCACCTACTTAGAACAAGCTAAGCAAAGCACAGGGACCATGGTTCAATCCCCCAGCACCACATGTCAGCCAGCCCACCCCCTGGTGGGCTGAGCTGGCCACACACACACACACACACACACACACAAATAAAATTAAAAAAAAAAAAAAAAGAAAGCCAGCATGGGGCCAGGGAGATGGCTCGGTAGAATAAGTGCTTCTCTGGCAAGCATAAGGGCCTGAGTTCAATCCCCAGTTCTGCCCAGAAAAAAAAAAAGAAGAAAGAAAGCCAGCATGACAAGCTTCTCTAGGAGAATTAAAAGCACACCATGTTCCCTCTAGTTCTTTTTATGCTGTTGGCATCAACCCTCAGGTGGGCCCTCCACACCCAGCACTACACTGATTCAGTTGAGCTGTGTGTTACAAAGTGGCCAGCAAGTTAACCCACCATAGACCACATATTCCATTACGACACTACAGGAGGCTGGGGATATAGCTTAGTGGCACAGTGCCTGCCTGGCAAGCATGAGGTCATGAGTCAGATTCCCAATACCACACAGACCCTACTATACGGTAGCTGTCAACTAAGGCTAAAAGAGGTAAATTCAACACTGTATTAAGAGAACTGAAGATACAGCTCAGTGGCCCTAGGGTTCATTCCCCAGTAATGGAGAGAAAGGTTTTATCATGTACAGTTCACAGACCTCCAGGAAAGTTGGAAAGAATAAAACATGAGACATGAAATCAGAGAACCCTGGAAATTTAACTTAAAATAACCCTCCTTGTATCTACCAGCTGTTTCTTTTAGTAAGATAAACTACTATTTCCCAGACAGATAAGAGGGTTTCCCAATGGTGCGCCAACTAAGCCTATTACAGAGTCCTGCACCCATCTTTTACTGTGGGAAATCCCCAGGGTCAGAGCTTTGGGCAAATAGCCAATCTCCAGGGCAGATCTCAAAAGGCTGTGTAAAACTTAAATGGGCTAGATTCCTCTTTTCATAGAGTATGCCACCCAAAAGGAAGGAGCCCAGAATAAATGGTACAGTAATAAATAAAACAATGATGCAGGGGACAAGCTCTGCTGACAAAATTCTTCCTTTGGTGGACAGTTTCAAGGTCAAAATCTAGGGACAGAGACTACAGGAAATCCAATGGCCAAGCACATCCTGGGTATTTAGGGGGGGATGGAAGGGGGAGAAGGGGAAAGGATGAGGGGAAGGGGGAGGGAGAAAGACGGACACTGCTTATCATACATGGTCCTTCACCTGTTCTGTTCTGCTTCTAGGAGGCCATGAACTAAGCAGCTTGGTCCTGCCACACCCTTCTACCATGAAGTTTCTTTTTTTTTTTTTTTTGCGGAACCGGGGATTGAACTCAAATCCTTGCGTTTGCCAGTCAAGCGCTTATCCTACTGAGCCATCTCCCCGGCTCCCTATCATGAGGTTTCTGCCTTGAGGCCTACTAACTGCACACACAGACTCACCTGAAACCAAGAGCTAAATTAATCCATTCCTCCTTTAAACTGAGAGCTGGGTTTTATGCCTCCACAACAGAAAAGCGAATACATGGACCTTTAGTTAGGAAACACTGCACACAGACATTTATGTACATACACGCTGATCTCAGATTTTATCACAGTAAAACACAAAAACAATATAAAAGTAAGCAAAAACAAGTAACTTCAATACTTTTCATCCTTTACTGACTTTGGAAGGCTTCTATTTACAGTATACCCTTACAGTTTGCAGATTATAATTTACAACAATCAGTTTATTAAATCCTGGTGTAGAGGGCCATTATAAAAATGGGAAATACACTACTCAAATCATACCTAGAGAATGCTTCTTTTTTTTTTTTCGGAATCAGGGATTGAACTCAGGTCCTTGTGCTTGCCAGGGAAGCACTTATTCCACTGAGCCATCTCCCCAGCCTCTTCTTTTTTTTTCTTTTCTTTTTTTTTAAGTAGATAAAAAGAAAACTGCTTAGCAGTAGTAATGGCTGAAAGTTATGAGGATCTTTACTTTAGGCTTTCTACAGAGTAGGGAGAGAAAACTGGAGAAAAGGATGTCAGTAAGAAAAAGACTATAGCTGTCCAAGCGTCTAAGGTAATAATAAACATAATGGCAATAATATGACAAAGAGAGCTGGGGATGTGGTTCAGTAGTAGTGTTGCTGCCTTGCACGCACAAGGCCTTGGGTTTGATCCCCAGCACCATGGAAGGAAGGAAGGAAGGAAGGAAGGAAGGAAGGAAGGAAGGAAGGAAGCAGGCAGGCAGGGAGGGAAGCAAGCAAGCAAGCAAGCAAGCAGCCAGCAATAAAAATCTCCAATGAAAATAGCTAGGAAACACAAATTAAAACAGAATTTGGAAGGGCCGGGGAGATGGCTCAGTGGAATAAGTGCTTCCCCGGCAAGCACAAGGGCCTGAGTTCAATCCCCGGTTCCACCAAAAAAAAACCAAAACAAAACAAAAAACATTTATAGATGATAAAATAGAATTTGGAGGTAGTAACAAGTGTTCAAGAGGCTTCAAAAAATAAAGACCTAGAAAATATGAATCAATCCCAGCTCTGCCACAGACTGTACTACATAATTAAATTTGTAAGACTAGTTCTCTTCACATAAAATAGTAAACACTAGCAAAAACTATTTATAAAGTACAACTCCTGGCGAACAGTAATTGTTTAGTAATACAGTATATACAATCAAAGGACACGATTGAATACAGATGCCAGGGTGCAGACTAGCACAAACTGGAGCATGTCCTCACCCCTCTTATGCAGGACAACAACTTAGCTCTAAACAATTGCTGCCATGTGTAAAATATGGGCCCACTCTTCACATATATTGTTTTTTCACAATAAAATTGTCGGGCTGGCCACATAGCTCAGCGGATTAAAGTGCCTGGATTAAAGCACAGCCTCACAGGGGCTGGGGTTCAATCCCCGGGCCTGCTGTGCTGGCCCCGCCCTCAGGGCACACTGAGACAGCAATTGAGACTGGGCATGGTGGCGCGCCTGTAATCCCAGCTCTTGGGAGGCTGTAAACAGGCAGATCACGATGACTCCAATCTAGTCCAACCTTGAACACCCACCCTGTAGACCCTTCTCTAAAATTAAAAAAAAACTTTACAAAATAAAATATATCCCATAAATTTTCAATTAACCAACGTATACAAAGTACATAAAATATATTTTTACATACAAAATATTCAAAATGAAACCACTAAAACAAAACACTACTGTATCTTTTATGCAATGTTTCTAGGGACTTGTGAATTGTGGTATAACCAATGTTTTGGAAATGGCTTTTTACAGGCTTTCTTCAACAAAACAAACTACTATCCGGCTACCAAAACATTTCAGACTTACTAGCAAATACAATCCGAAACTGATCTCCCTGTATAAACACTTTACAGTGCGGAGTAATGAACCTAAGGGCTTCCTACTAAACTACATTCTAGTCCAATTTTATTTTATTTCGAGACAAGATCTTGCTAAATTGCCCAGGCTGGGCTCAAACTTGTGATCCTCCTGTCTCAGTCTCCCAAAATGCTAGGATTACAAGCATGAGCCACTACACGTGGTTTAGGGAGCTCCTGTTTAGAAAACTTGCCCCATCTAATAAAGAACCCACAGAACCAGGGTGGTGGGGAAGGCCTGTAACCACAGCATTCGGGAGGAGTCTGCAGATCACTGAAAGTTCAAAGCCAGCCTGTGCTAAAAGTGAGTTCCAGGCCAACCTGAACTGCATAGTGAAACCCTATCTCAAAAGGAGGGGAGGGAAGGGGAGGGGAGGACATGATAGAGAAAAGGAGAGCGCACACACAACCCCAGAGAGGTGACTGCACCTGCCATGGCTGACACACAACAGGCCAAAGTCCCCTCCTGAGAATATGAACTCACTTCAGCAGTACACACACTAAACTTGAAACAGTACAGAGAAGACTGCATGGCCCCTGCCAAAGGATGCCACAAAAATATGAACTTGCCATACTGGATGAGTTACACAGCTATGGCTGATGGAGTTTTAACTGGTTAGGTGGATTCAAAAGATGCTGGCCATTGTGTCCAAATGCAAAAAAGAGAACAAGGATAAACAGAAAGGAAAGCAGAAGAAATATGCAAAATAAAATGAGAGCCAAAAGCCAGGTGTGGTGACACACACCTAAATCCCAGTTCTCAGGAGGCTGAAGCGGAAGATCATGAGTTAGAAGCCAGCCTGGCCTACACAGCTAGTTCAAGGCCAACCTGGACTATATAGTGAAAACCTGAAAAGATGTTACGGAGAGAAGATAGACTGACAGATGGGAGTGGTATGCAATGTGAGACACACCCAGATACAGACAACAGATAACACACACACACACACACACACACAAACACACCTATGTAGATGAACTGAACTGAATTTCTATGAAATAAAATACACTTTTATCTCCTTTTACTTATGATACCTTGAAGGAATTTCTATTCCTGCAAACATATAACTTTTGGGGGCTGGGGAGATGGCTCAGTAGAATAAGCACTTCCCTGGCAAGCACAAGGGCCTGAGTTCAATTCCAGGTTCCACAAAAAAAAAAAAAAACCATATAACTTTTTAGAAGTCAAGGCCAAAAAGAATTTAACAGAATTCAGGACTCAATATTATGTCAGGAATTTCTGATAAAGGATTATTCCCTTTATTTCAAGTCTAGAAACTGTAACTAATAAAAGATTCATCAAAAGTGAACACTAAAGAATGACCAAGAAATTCAAATTTGCATTGACTTAACCTTTAGTTATCAGAAAAGTAGCCACTGTGCTCAGGACAATGAAGGCAGATGCTCACCATTAACCCACTGCAATCCAATCAATTCATCTAGCCCACTTCTCAGACAACAAATTATAATCAAACACCACTTAAAGTTTAAATGCCATATTCCAACCAGTCTCATTTACTTTAGAAGCAAATGACATTGTGACATTCTCAATCTCAGAACACACAATTAAAACACATTGAAAAGCATTCATCCACCAAGCAAATACAAACTGCAAAACATTTTACTAAATAACTAGCAAAAAAAAAAAAAGAAAGAAAGAAAGAAATTAAACGGAACCATGCCTCTAATCACAGCATTCAAGAGGCTGTCAGGAGGATCACTGAGTTCAAGGCCAACCTGAACTGCACAGAGAAACCTTCTCTCAAAGGGACCCCAAAAAAAAAAAAAAAAAAAAAATAGATTAAAGGTAGAATGACAATGAAGAAAGGAATTAATCAAATACACAATTTCTACAGATAAGAAAATTCTGTAATTGGTAAGTACAGTAACTGAAATGAAACTTTTACTAGAAGAGCTCAATGACACATTTGAAAAGAAAAAGAATCCATGAACTTCAATTGGAAGAATGCAAAGAATGACGGAACTGAGGAGAGCCTCAGAGACCTTAAGATACCTTGAACAAGAGTCTCGTCAAGCACTGGATGTGTATCATGTCTGACACTTACAAGATCTTTCAGTTTCACAAGATAATGAACTAAAGCTCAGAGAAGTTAAGAAACTTGCCAATTACTACATAGCAAAACTAGACCGTTGGCCTGTTTATCTTGCCTTCCAACACCTACTAGCTTAATGAATAGTTGTTATGGTTTGTGTCTAGTTCTCCCCCACCCCAAAGCCTCATGCAGTCAAGCGAGGGGACTTGCAGAGTTTGAGATTAACTCATGATCCACTGCGATTATGTGTTTTAGTACTACCGGGATTCTGGGTGTGAGTGCTACACCCAGCCTGAATGTAACTGTAAGAGAGATTTCCTCTGCTGCCGCTACTCCTCCCTTGGCTCCTCTTGCTCTTTGCTGCTCCCAGGAAAGGTTGCTCTCTGCCATGTGTCACTCTGCCCTGGAGCCAGCTGAGTATGGACTGAAACCTCCAGGAACTGTGAGCTAAATAAATCTTGCCTTCATTTTGAGTGTCAGGTATTTGTCCCAGCAATATGAGAAGAGTAAGTGAGACAAAAGTCTAGGAGTGACTTCTTTTATCCCTCTGCAAACAGAAAAGGCATTACACAGTTCTCCTTCCGTAAGTGCCACTGATGACTGCAAAAAGCACAAAACAACATCTAGCAGATTCTAACTGCCTCTCAGGCAAATGAACTGTTTAAGGGATTTTGACAAAGTAGGTTTTGGGGGGTTTTGTTTTGTTGTCTTTTTAAGACAGGGTCTCACTATGCAGTTCTAACTGGCCTTAAGCTCCTGCCTCTGCCTCCCAGCCGCTGGGATTACAGGCACGCACCCCCACACTCAGCTGAAGGAGGGCTTCTAAAGTGCATCTAACATTTTTTCAGTAAGACCTGACTACAAGTGATGAGTGTATGGCTGAGTGGTAGAACACTTGCCACGCACGCAAAGGGCCTGGGTTCAATCCCCAAAACCAAGTAACAGAAACAAAAAAATGAGAAAGATGAATTTGAGGTTGTTTTTTGTTTGTTTGTTTTGTGGTACCCAGGGATGGAACTTCGGACCTTGCACATGTGATGCAGGTGTTTATGGAATCTGAAGTTTAGAGAAGATAAAAACAATAAGACCACATTTATACTGCAGAATCAGCATTCATACCGCAAGAGCTGTTACTCTAGATATAGTGATTATCACCACTGTTTTGTTGTTTTGTCTTGTTTTGTGACAGGGTCTATGTAGTCCAGACTGTCCCTAAACTCACTACATAGGACAGGCTGGCCTTCAACTCACAGCAACCCTCCTTCCCAGCCTCCCAAGTGCTGTGATTACAGGTGTGCACCACCAGGCCTGGCTCATCCCCTTTTTAAGTCACTGGGAGGAGGAACTTAATCTCTCTACGTCATTGTTCAATCCTATTCCCCATACAGAACTTTGTTTAAATGAAAAATAGGTGTATTTCTACTCAAAATCCTTCAATAGTTTATCCAACATGCCATCATCAAAACAAAATACCAAAAAATGAAAAACAGAAAGAGAATGAATGTATGAAACTGAGGTTTAGAGAACGTAAGAAACAGGACCACATTCACATTCCAGGATAAGCAGTCAGGGTGCCACCTGGCTTGGAGCCAGGCCCCTGCAGACACCATCCTGTGGTACCCTCTCCCCATCACCCCACTCCTGCCACCTGGACCAGCTTGCAGTTTCTCAAACAAGGTCTCTCACCTAACAGACTCTGGATATTCAACAATGCCTCAATAAACTCCGTTCCTAATCATTCTTTTGATCTCAGCCTAAATATTTCCTTAAAGGTCTTATTTGAAGTGTCTTCTCACTACATTATTCTCTACACTGCTCCCAACTTGTGATCACACACACACACACACACATATATACATGTATCTCTTTATATATGCATCTTCTGGGGCTGGTGAGATGGCTCAGTGGTCTAAAGCACCTACTTAGAATTAGCTTAGCAAAGCACAGGGACCGCAGTTC